TAAAAAGCCAGTGAAATGGCCTGGGAGAATATAATTAACATTGCTGGGATTCTAGTACGATACTGATTAATTTGAATATAAACATGCTGTAATTCGCACTAGACATAACAATTTTAGTACTGTAATCAAATTAGTAGGCTACATGTTCACTCTAGCTTTGCACTAAGGTCATTTATTTCTTTTACGTTTCTTTTAGTATGGTGTGTGCGTGTAAATCTACCCAAAAATACAGTTGAAAAAATTTATATTATAAATGTACTACAGTATTGTACACTAATGTACTACATTTTTTATATCTTGAGCAAAATATATGACTCTTATATTTAAATTAATCTTTGTCTTGCAAGGATTTCAGCAATGCAAATTATATTATCCTATCTTTAGTCAGAGATATTATATGAAATAAACATAAAGAAATCACCAATCTTTTGTCTGGAAACACAAGGAAGGAGGTAGCCAGCCGAGCATGGGAAGAGGGGGGCGCAGAGGAGGGGGGAGGGGTTGCGGGAGGTGAGGTGACAGAGCGTCTGGTGTTTGTTTATTTATTTGAGATAAGATTTGACAGTTGGCGCTGAAGGACTGCGTGTTTATTTATCATTACTTAAGAGTGACTGAGCTCTTCTCATAATTTGCTACCCAAACGTCCTGGGTGAATATACTGTAACTTACATTGCTGGGATTCTTGTAAGATAGTAATTTATTTGAATACCTGTATAAACAATCTATATTTGCAATAGACATAACAATTTTAGTACATGTACAGTACAGGTTGGCACTTAGGTCCATTGTTAACCGAGGGACCACTGTATTGCAGTGTAGGCTACTTGTACTGTACATTATTGACTAAATTCACTAGATAACATACACAACTAATGGTTGGTAAAACTTGTCAAGTAAGTGAGTGTCAAGTCTGTCAGTATGAGTGGCACGTGAGTGCTTGTGTCCCCCGTCATAGGAGTCCGTTTTCTCTCGCTTCAGGACGCCTGTGTCCGTTTTCTCTTAATCTTAGAGTGCAGTGCACCAGAGACCATTATTCCTTAGTAATGACACAGAAATTGAAATTGCAACCCCAATTTCAACTTGGGTTGCAATTGTTGAGGCAACCAGATATGTCTGATTACAGCAAATGTGTTATTGTCAATTTGTAGGTGAAAGATTTTATCCTCAATAGATGTAGGTTAACATTACACCTGGAGGCACATGCTTACTAAAGCCTAAGGAATGATATTCCTTTAACACATAATATCTGGCCAGTATGGGAAGGATCATCGTGTCTCCGTCTGGAGGTCGTGGAGTGGTGGTCCAGCAGACGTCACCGAAGTTTTTTTTGGGAGGGGGGCCACGGACGTGCTATATATACGATCGGACGTTGTTCGGTTGGACGTTAACCGGCACATGACAGTATATATATATATATATATATATATATATATATATATATATATATATATATATATATATATATATATATATATATATATATATATATATATATATATATATATATATATATATATATATAGAGTACAGGTATATATAAATAAATCAAGCAACTGGTGTTTCTTAGAAAATCACAAGTTTGAAGAAGAGGAGTTGACACCAAGTGCACAGGATTTAATGACAGGTGCACAGGAGTTTACATCAAAGTGTATACAGAGTTAACATCAGGTACACAAGAGTTAAATACATGTATTATTGCAAAATACAAACAATCTAATACCTGGTGAACCTGAGTTAGCAGTGAGTGCACAAGAATTAATATGTGGTGTACAAAAACAGGTGCATGTTAATAGTGCACAGAAACTAGCACCAGATGAGGTTCACATTTATCAACATCTGGTACTCAGGTGTTGACAACACGTGTATGAGCTTAAAAACATGAAATCATAAAATAAAGCTTTGAAATGCTCTTGAATCACTTAATAAAATCTTGATGTTGATTTGTGTAACATATTTGATAACCATTCATAACCATTAACATTTATATTCAATCATGAAGAGACACAAAAATAGGAGGGATATAAATGGCTCCAAGATGAAGAAAATGGAATCTGCTAACGAGAATCTAAGTATTTTTCAGAAGTAGTCCTTGATATTGTTTTCATACTTGTTTCCGTAAGTGCCTACTAGTTCTTCAGTGAATGAAAAATTAGCATTCAGTCATTTACCCAAAAACAAATATAAATATTTATATATTTATACTGTATAATATATATATACGTATACATAACTACAGTAATATCAAAGTGGCAAAATTGACATTCTCCCTCAACAATATTGAATCAAATTGAATCTGATATAGGTTGAACTGGTTCAAGCTGGCTGCACACTGAGTTGGTACTTGTTTCAGACCATTGGGAAAAAAAGGTTTGTGAATTCTGTCTCAAACTTTGAAGCCTGTACAACTAGTCTGTAAAAGCTCCTTAGTTACTGGTATTAATTCATAGCCAGGAGGTCACTGTCATACTCCACTCAAAACTTTCACACATACACTGTCATACCAAAAGCACACAATTAGCTGAACTCACCACTTCCAGCTTATAAATTTTCTCTAACAAACTTATGCCCTGGCATAAACTATACAAAAGCCTAATAGCAATAGAAACTATTCATCACCACAGAAACTAAGCAGCAATAGCCTGGGGACCAGCAAAAGACTAATATTACTATGATCCCTGCCATCTCTGATGTTTGTATGGGAACTGATAAACCTATGAGGGTGAGACGAAGGTGAATCATACTGCTCACACTTGATGAGGAGGATCTCTAACCTAACTTTCTTAACTTCTACACTTTGAAGGAACAAAACTAAGTATTGTACTGCGCAGTAATTTTAATTGCTAACTTTAGAAAGTTTACTTATGTATAATGATTTATATAGTAAACAGCATAATGAGGTCATAATAATGTTGTTTCTTTATTATTGTGAGTGGGTCTGGACCTCTAACATCACCCAATGCAAAGTAACAAAATGACTCTTATCATGGGGTACTATAGAGTTAACTGACATACCACACAGCCAAAATGAACTCAGTTCAAAAATGGTTCATAAGTTCATTGGTCCAAACTGCTAATTACTGCCAGTCATACTTGATCAAGTCTAAGGTGTATAATGGCTTGGAAAATTAAGTCGGATTTATTCCAATCTGACCAACAGAGATTTCAAGGTGTATTAAAGACTGACGTAATGCAACACTACTGAACTGACTTTTTTCTTCCCCCAAGTCTAAAATACAATATGTATTCTGATATTTATCAATGTATTTTAAACATATGTACTGTAGAGCTTCACTCCCTTCCTGAAAAATATAGCTCAGTCAGTAGACACACAAGGAAGAGAAGAAGGGAAGCATGATACAGCTAAGAAAGGTTGTAAATACAGAGAATAGCAAAAAAACAAATAAGATGCTTGCAAAACAAATATATCTGTATAACGATGAACCAGCGATAGGTTTACCTGTTAATCAGCTGCAACTTAAAACTATGACTTCACCTATTGCTGAAACAGTACAGTCTTCAAGTTTAGGCTTTTTAGAACACTAACCTTTCCAGTGGGGTAGGAGGCTGATGTGCTGTATGATTGAGAGCGGTCTTCTCATTTGAATGTGCAGGAGAGTAGGAGAGTGAATTTGTAGGGGATATCTGAGGAAGCCCAAAAAGAATTAGCTTTATAGTGTTTGGAGGTTTTTAAAATAGACAACAAGATCCAAAATAAGATCTGTGGTAGTTATGAAGAAATTTTCGTATCAGGTAGAGTATGTCATTTACGATGTGTTTAGAACAATTTTCTAAGCAAGATAAATATGGGCAAATAATTTTGGGATGCACACATAATACTATAATAATAAAAACAGATTCAATGTCAAGGGAAGAATTTATTTTCAAATTATCTCTTATATAATCTTGTACTTCATAATCCAAAGCTACTAGATGTAAGATAAGAAAAACAATATTAATACAGTAATGGAAAACATAACAAAACAAAGCAGTTCTTAGTGTAATGCAATTCAGTCTCCTTCCACTGCAAGTATTTCTGCGATTTTCTCCATATTAAGATGTTTGAAAAAAGTTTGCAGAAAAATGCAGAAAATTTTAAGAGATGAATACTTATTTTGTCTATACACTGTATAAAAAAAAATTTCAACAAAAGTTATTAATAGCTAAATATATTTGGATAAATAACATGAGGTTAATTAAAATGAAAAATAATCACACATGCACACACAAAAAATCTAGATTGTTGATTGTAAAATCTTGTTTCATAATTGGTATGAGATTTCAAATATAACCCTTGAGACTGTGATGACTCTGCTAGATGATGATTCTATAACTAACAAATCAGTGACTTGTACCACTTTCAAAGAGCATTTCATACCAATCAGGCCACTGGAAATTTTTTTTAATCCTGGTTCTCCCTATAAATTCTTTAGCCATTACTACATTAAGTAATCCATCTTCCCCACACAAAATAGATGATTTTGGATAGGTTGGCTGCCCCAAGTCACACTATCATCCCTCCCCAGCCATATAATGAGATTCCATAGTCATCAATCCATGCTTTATGGCTGGTACAAGGTTTCCTATGTGATTTATATGAACCAAGTCAGACAAGCTCGAGAATAAAGAGAAATCCTAAAGCAAGAGGACTGTTTTACAAACTCCTGAGTGTTAAGTACACATGGATGCTTAGCAGATTTGGAGGAAATTCCTGGCAGATTGACAGATAAACAATGGGGAAACAGATGAGGCTCGGCTAAATTGATATATCACCACTTTGTGAGTGATGATATGTAACATCATGAATTAAATAGTGTTCATTAGGGCTTCAAAAGTCTTAATAATATCTTTGGGTCATAAGATAAGTTGTTTGCTATTATATCCTGGAATTCATAAGAATATCTGTGGAGTGTAAGATAAGATCCTTCTTAGCTGAAAACTTCCAGGCTATAATTGCATAAGAATGAGTTCCAGTTTGGTTAAAGAACCTTTACAGGTATCCTTTGCTTAGTCTCAATTAACCTTAACGTTAATTTGGTTTATCAATAAAAAAAAATTGACACCTTTTCTCACTTAATGTTAGGTAAAAATTTGGTTTCGTGATAGCTTGTCTCACTGGGAGTGGGAAAATGGGAATGAGGTGGCCTGTGAGATGGCATGTTGCAATTGTTACATGTAACTAAACTATAAGAGTTGTGGAAAAATCATTACAATACTCTAATATGGTATATAAATAAAATATACATTTATACAAAATTATATAATTAGAAAGATGGAGAGCATGGGTGTGAAGTGATAATATTTCTGGAGGCAGTAGGTTGAAACTGTATCGTGAGCCCAGCCATGCTCCCTGACTTCCTCCCCCAATGTGGTGCCATGACACAAACACAAGGCAGCAGCAGCCATATGTCTTTGAGTGAGCTGAGTGACTGCCCAGCTGAACTATGTCGCATCGCCTGAAGGATGGTTTGAGTGTAGAGCTATTTTTTTTTTTACATATTTTATGTGCTACTTTACTTTATGATACTGTATCTATGTGTCAATTTTTTTGTTTATCACAGCAATTTTTCTTAATTTTTTACAAATGCAATTTGAAATTTGTTCTATTTAGGCTGACCTTTTATCATATTAGTGATGCTAATGATAACTTGAAGAGTGTCTTAAGCCCAGGACTGAACCTGAAAATAATATATATTGTTCATTTGGGCACTCTCATCTTATTTACTAGACTACTATGAGAACCAGGCAATACTGTACTGAGACAAGTCTTGAAATTCTAGCCAGTATGAGACTCTGTGAAAGACTCGTCTGTTGAGTGGAGCATGACAATGGATTATGAATGGCTTGTTGTGACTCATTAATGATAGGTCAGGGGATTTCAAGTACAGTATGAGACAGAATTGAAATTCCTTTTTTCCAATGGTTAAGTTGTTCAAAGATACTCCATGCAGCCAGTTCAAACCAGAGGCATGTTCATCATGTCTTGATGCTATCAACAAAAAAAAACAACAACATTTTCACTATACGTAGTTTGTTGGCTATATAGGTGTCATCGAGGAGAGTGGTGGCAATCTTGCAGGGTACACTGAAATCTCACACCTCCACAAAGTGTATTTACTCCTTTTAAAAACTCGGTTCAGAAATAGACCTGTTAGCAGCAAAAAAACATACCATAATAAAGTTCATAAACACAAATTACAGACATAAACCAAAAACTAATCACACAAAGCTTCCATTACCTTTTCATATATGTTAATATAAATGCCACACAATGCCTTTAAAAGATTTAAATATGCGTGTTCTACACATATTAATAGTAACACACAATTAGTCTACCTTTCCACAAGGCTTCAAGAAACAACACATATCTATTACTGATGTTACATAACAATCAATATATATATATATATATATATATATATATATATATATATATATATATATATATATATATATATATATATATATATATATATATATATATATATATATATATATATATATATATATATATATATATATATATATATATATATATATATATATATATATATATATATATATATATATATATATATATATATATATATATATATATATATATATATATATATATATATATATATATATATATAAACAAACAGTACTTGACTTCAGATGACAAAACAGTATTTTTTGTCTGTTGTCAAATATTTACCAAATCTATCGTTGGCATTAAATAAGAACAAATAGCTGTTGTTGGTTAAAATTTTGTAACAAATGGTTTGGACAGAGCAGGATCATGTTAGTAGGGCAGAGTAATATTTATCCTAGAATGTGTCATGGAGATTTAGTTGTTTAGAACATTTCCTTTATTCCAAAAATAATTTGAAAGCTTATCAAACTTCAGTACCATTATTTACAAGAAATGTGTGGGTTTAACTAAAAAATTATACTGTATACCATACATATAAAATATATGTCTTATAATCTTGATCTTTATCATTCCACCAAAACTCATTCTAGGGAACATGATTATTCAGTATCAATCGTCTACACTTTCCCATAAATTTTCCCTCTCACCATATTCATAATCTGGTTGTTGACCTTGAGAATAACAGGATGCAAGATATTACCCACCTGGAAAAGGATTATTATACAGTAAATATTGTATGAGTGGGAGATGTACACGACATGACTGATGCTCCATAATCTATGATGAATAGTCAAGTGGTATTTTTGCACTAGTTCTATGAAGGCATACACAAGTACAGTATAATGCATGTCTAAGTGTAAACAAGAAAAAATGTATATGAAAGTTTGTGCAAACAGGCTTGTAGAGTTATGTGACATGCATTTATTTGGGTACTTATTGAATTGTATATTGCATAGGTGTAAAAGTTCATTAAATGTCTAAAAACTAAAGATGTGTAACACTACAGCATATATAACATATGACATGCATGACGAAATAACAAAATATATGTTTATTTACATAAAAAATTAACATTATGAAGTATTAAAAAAAGCAAAGTGACTTTAATTATCTTTTAATAAGAGTTACTTAGGAATGACTGACCTCTGAACAGTCAACATAAATTCTTGATATTTCTGAAAATATAATTGAAAGCCTCTGGAAAGAAAAATAAAAAGATTCCAATATAAATTCTACTTATGTCATGCCCTTGGTCCTAATACAAGTACAGTATATAAACATCATCTGAAAATCGACTTGTGACCCATTATACTTCCATTAGATAACTAATACCAATGCAGAAGAGCACTGATGAAGAAGAAAACACACAGTATAGGGCAAGTTCAGAGGACAACTACATTTTTAGGTGATGTGCACAGGTTTCAAATCTGATATCAATAAAGTATTTTCATGTAAAAAAAATCTTGAAACACACTACCACTTCTCAAAATTTAAATGGAAAATATAAGTGACCTCAAAAAGTGCAAGATACTTGATCAGATGGCTGTGATTTCAGTGACTGTGCAGTGTGTATATATTAATCTCCAAGCTGCTGCCTCACACCAACCCTTATTTCATGATATGGATTTTCCAAAGGTAATTCACAACAGATATACTGTATTTACTAGATGATAACAGATACTGTACCCAAGTTTACCACTTTACAATATCAACTTTATGCCTAATACCTTCTTGAAAAATTGGTTCTCATTCAAGTATCTTTCAAATATAACTGACGCTTAATAAATACACACCCATGTTTGTTCACCACTGAGGATTGGACATAAACTTCTGGTGAGAAATATGTTTGACAATTTGCAGTATATACAGGGTATATATAAATAAATATATAAATATAAATATATATATGTATATATATATATATATATATATATATATATATATATATATATATATATATATATATATATATATATATATATATATATATATATATATATATATATATATATATATAGTATGAAGAAAGAGAGGGAGATAGATGAAAATTTATGAAGTACTGTACCTGGTAAAATCCAGGAAATCCCAAGTGATTTGTGTATTCGAAGCAATGTCTGGGTTGTGCTAACCCTATCTATACATCAGCTATAAAATAGAGGTATAATGGGTCTTATATTGACTGTCACACTCTAAGTAATACAATTCACATCAGGACTATACATAAGCTGAGTGTCTACATGGTCTTATTATGAATCATATTCATTCATATTCCAAAAGTTATCTACAGACTAATTACTGTATCTACATGAAATGATATATGACTATAGCAACTAGTGAGATGAGAGCAGTGAAGTTAGGAAACCTATGCAACCAGAGAGAAGACTCAACTTTACAGAATCACCAGTTACTATGATATGCATGGAAGAATTAATATCATTTACACCAAGTAATCTTCCTTTACAAAATGTCTGTCTACATTCTAAATATATTTACATGTATGGCACAAGAAGCTATTAAAGTTAGATCTAAAACCTTAGTCCTACCAAAAAAAAAAAAAAAAATTATATATATATATATATATATATATATATATATATATATATATATATATATATATATATATATATATATATATATATATATATATATATATATATATATATATATATATATATATATGCAGAACAGTATAAGAGATAGAGAAAGGCCTTAATCAGCTGCAAGCAAGCACCAAGCCACATGCAGTTTTCAATCTTTATCAGCCTTCATAATCTCTAGGATCACCATGTAAAAAGTTAAGCTGTGCAAATAATTGTTATAAAGTGGTATAAGCATTTAACAATATCTCAATGAATAAGGATGAATTTAATAGTTTATAAATAATATGCTGGGGTATGTAAATATATAGTACAATTCTTCATATGAATCAAGTAATACTGTATGTAATACTGTATCATTACCCACATAAATGGTTGAATGGTGATTTCAAGGATTACAGAAGGTTTCCTGAGAAAGAACTACTATATTACTCACTACTCTTATGCTGCTGTAGGTTGTCTCCCATTTGACACTTATAGTATTGTCCACTTGAGGAGTAATAACTTTCAACTCTACTGTAAGTGGACATTACTTTACAATATCATACAATATTGTGATTGAATAGAAATCAGTACATAAATATTAACCCTTGGTACATTAATAATTCTATTGATGATCATGATTAAACATTCCTCAGTTATCTCCAAATTAGTAACACCATCACAATATTGGAGAGACAACCAAATTCCTGCTAATCACCAGATAACAAACAACTTCTTTCACATGATGCTGAACAACATCTGATATAAACTACATTCCATCGAGGTCCCTTCTATCAAGACTTGTGCAGGAATTCGGTCTAAGCTGTGTACAGTGCTTACTTTAGCGTGTTGTCCAGAGCTGACGCGGAGGGAGCGTGATCGTGGTAGGCCTTTGACTCTCATAGATGACCAGACCGAGCCGAACAAGGAGTGGTTACGCTAGAAAACCACCATTGGGAGGTTACTGTTAATGTGTTGTGGGGATTCTTTGTAACTGTTAATGTGTTGTGGGGATTGAGAGGGGTATAAAACAGATCTGCGGTAACTACGTATATGGAAAAATTCCCAAACACGAACATCAGTGATGGATCCAGGGAATTTGGAAAGTTTGTCCCAATGTATAGAATGTTCTTTGTGTTCTCAGTCAACTGAAAGAACATAGAAAGCCATAAACTACATTAAATTAAAACAAAAATGGAGAGTTGAAGTCATGATGAACAATAATTTGTTAATATTAATTCCAAAGTAAATTTTGTAAGTTGTGGTACTCTGGCAAAGCTGTATAAAAGTGTAAAAGTGATATCCCTGAGAAGAAGCCTGGATCCTCACACATAAAGTCAACTTAGGGCAGGAGTTTGGGAGTATGGAAAAACTTGTTAATTTTACTCCTTTTCAAAACAAAAGGCTTAGGAAGTTTATTGAGTTAGTATTATTCCTGAAGTTTCTTTCCAAACGTAACTATGCTGACAATTAAATTTTAAATTTCTTCCTGATTAAATTCACAATACATAGAGGCATTCTCAATAATATATATATATATATATATATATATATATATATATATATATATATATATATATATATATATATATATATATATATATATATATATATATATAAATATATAAATATATATATATATATATAAAGTCCTCAATTTCACAGTACAGTAATTTTTTTATATGGCTATGTTTATTCAGTGCTGTACAATATTATTATAATTAATTTAAATAATATTTTTTTAGTAGGTATACAGTACGGTACTGTATAAACTTATTTATACTTTATATGATTCAGCATGGCAGCCAGATGAGCTTCAGAGTCCACCAAATGTCCCTCCCTCACACCAACTGATACAAATTCACCATCCCGTCCCCTTCCACCCATGCATCATGTCGCACTTCATTTCTCAATTGGATATTGACCTGTAAACTTCAAATCCTTCACTTGTCATTGTCCTCTTATTATGGCACTATATATTGTCTTCTGCAGAAGGAGAATGAAATTGGCAAAATGTCTGATTAGCTAAGTGCAAAGAGAAAGAAAACATGATAAGCTAATGACCAATTCTTGGTGATGCCAGGGTTACAAGTCTTTATCATCAAACTTAGCTAATACTGTATTTAATCACAGGATAATTTATCTCTTTCATAATATATGTATATTCCAGATGTTTTATGTTTGGAGTCAAGTCTAGCTGAGAGATTTAAGACATAGGTTTTCCCCATTTTATTAGAATTTTTTTTTTCTTTAGTGAATCTCAGGAAGAGGTAAATCTAAGCAGTTGGTATTCCTGACTTTGTTAAAACACCAAGACTGTGTTGTTCTTAATTTTAGATTACCATGTTTGGTATTAATCAAATAGTTATTTCTTGTAAAATGCAGTACTGTATAAGCTAATAGAAAAGCTACTTTAAAAAGACTTTGAGTAGTGGCAACATTCACCTATAGTGGGTTATGTCTATACTGGAGAACTCTTATAATGATCTACCTTTCCTGTAGCCAGTACTGTACTGTAGTGAGGATCTAATGAACTAGGAACTTAACCCTTTATTTCCTTTGTCTCAAAGTAATTTTTTACACATATTCCACATGCAGGTATTCACTTTGCAGTGATTTTCAAGAATGTAACTACCACGTAAATCGAGGTTGTAGACGCGTGTGTGTGTGTGTGTGTGTGTGTGTGTGTGTGTGTGTGTGTGTGTGTGTGTGTGTGTGTGTGTGTGTGTGTGTGTGTGTGTGTGTGTGTGTGTGTGTGTGTGTACAGTACAACCTCAATTTATATGGAAGTTACATTTTTGAAAAGAACTGCAAAGTGAATGTGTGTAGTATTGGATCTTTAAATTGTATTCTACATTTTTTCTTCTTTCAATATTACACACGAATTATTTGCCATGTGATTTTATTTAATACTGTACCTTGATTTAAAAATAAATACAGGTATTTTAGAAAAGATCTTTACTACTATCGTGGAGATAAATGTCTCAACAGTAATTTGCTCTATGTGTAAAATACTTCAGAAGAGTTAGTTAAGGTATAATTTCATGACATCAAACAATGAATTATAGTTAAAACAAACACATAGCATTGAACATACTTCATTCACACATAAATTTTGCTCGTATCTTGATCAATAACATACAGTATTCCTTTTTCGTTGCCATTTTCCTCTTTGATACTATTATATATACAGTACTGTATATGAATCACCCAACCTTTTTCATACCTATGTTTCCAATAAGATTTGTTTATATTATGGTGCATAAACTGTTACTGAATATGTCATGTATATCTATAAACACAGTGAAATAATTGAAGAAAGGAAAATATTAACTAAGCTATGATCAATGTCCATCTAATATAATCTCAAATGGGTTTCACCGAATATACAACAATTTACAAAAATGAGATTAATTTTGATATCCTTTTTAATGGCCATGGGCTAAGGTGGGTGATTTGTGAGATCTCAACCACTGAACATCCTACAAAAAATCCTGTCAAGAGTCATAATGTATAACTGCAATACAGCAAAGCATTTTTCAAAAGAATAACATAATTATTGCCCATATCACCATTCACTCAGCTTAATTTACCATTTTCATTTTTTTCTGAGTGTCCTGCTAGAAAAACAAACAGTACTACCACCGGAAGAAACCATTGCTGGGGGACTAAAATTACCAATAAGAATGTGCATGGGCATACCAAGATCTTACTATGGAGGATAATGCAGTACCATGCCTGAATAGTAAAGAAACACGCACACACTGTTGCCCCATTAGCTTTCACTGGAATGGACTGTGACAACTTCACCTTAGGATCCAAACATTGCAAATATGGTAGGAGGCAGAAAGGTGGTAGGTTGGCTTGTTAAACAGAAAGAAACCAGAGAAATGATCTGAAGTGTGTACATATAAATATTTCAATAGCAGGACTGATGGTGAAAAATGCAGAAGCTCATCACTATGGTTATAAGGAAATGAAGTGCTGTACATTAGTGAGAGTCTGATGCTTTACCCAAACTTTTAATTTGCCAAAAAGGGTAACCATACCACCCTTGATACCATAAAAGGCTCTTGATATGACTAGGAAAAGATTTAAATGGACAGCAATGGAGGAGTTCTTATGAATAACACTTCCTGTCACTGATGGATAGTACATTATGACACGGACAGGGTCTATTACAGGATATTCAATTGTTGGTATCTCACAGGTCACTCACTACAGAATAGTAGGCCATACATATACCTACATATAGATATTTTCAGATTTTATGATGCACCACACATAAATAATTAAATATGATACCCATAGGATTTTCAGAATATTTCCATATCCTTGTTTTATTATCTTATCTCCCATTTACCTTTCCTTAAGAGACTTCAGTTCTCTTAATTTCCTTTTCTCTAGTTTTACCTCTCTCAATCCGTATGATCAACAAATTTTACAAGTGGCATTTCCTCCTACTGTATTCTTATCTTTCCTTCCCTAAGCAAGTGATCACCATTTAACAGACAAGCATACAGACACTACTTCACTGCAGGGTCAAGGGGGGGATAGAGTGAAGTTTAGGGTGTCAAAGATGTCTACCTTCTTATGCAGCAGCTGGACAGAAGATTGTGGAGTAACAGAACTAGCATTTGCTGTGTTGAATTATCAAACTAAGGCCTCATCAGAACCCTGTAAAGCTTATAAATCTCCACAAGAAATTCTTTGTTTATAAATAATATGCTCTACTAAGCTCTTTTGATTTATGTGACCTTGAATTTTGGCTAATAAAGAGAAAACTATAACATTGATATTAAAGCAACACAGACTATTACTCATCCATATGATATCTATTTATCTTAGAAGTATTACAGTTGCTTATGATACATCTGAGACCCGTTTGATAACTCAGTTTAATATTATTCCTAATTAAATGAACAACTCTGTACAGAAGCTTAATTAATGCCTTGATTGATTGAAAACTTACAATTAAACATACGGTAATTATGTTTTTACAGAACATTTCTCATATCCAATTCACACTTCAGCTGTGAAACTGACTCAACCAATTGCAACAGTAACTAGTTTTATCAGTTTTTAATATCTGTAAGAATATTTAAATTAGAGATAATTCCAATTATCTCAATCAAACACTCTCTATATATCTAGCATTTATACGTCTTATAAATAAAATAAAATAATTGAATTGAAGGATTGATGTAGAAACTGCCATTTGGTAACAGAAGTACAGTAGTTTGTGACCTATGAAATTCAAACTCCTAAACACCCATTGGCAGAGATTATCTACTGCCAGAGGTTCTTATAAAGTATTTAACAACAGAACAAACTCTAAGTGGACAAGGCCAGCTAATGTTCTTGCTGGAAGTAGGATTTTCTCATCTAGTTGGCTCAGAGTTTAAGTTTCAATCTCATATGAGTCAATAACTGACTTTGGATTCACTAAGGATTCATGTACAGATTGAGCCCTTTTAACCCGGCACCCTGTTGACCTGACAAGTGCTGGACCATAGTAGTTTCCAAACCACAAAAAGTTTGGCTAATATCTGGAAAATCCTATACTCTACTAATACATGAGATAAAAATACAGTACAGGTTACTAAAAAGTAAAAAAATATATATTTAATGTTCATTCACTTGAAGCTATTACATGAAGATACATTCCTAATGGCAAAAAATAAAAACCTTTTTTACTCTAAGAGTAACATTAATATACAAAATAGAGTATACACTGTAGTACAAAAATACATTAATAATATTAATCTGTCCATCACATATGCAAACCCTCCTACATGTGTTGCCACGTGACAACTTATACAGGAAAAAAAAAATCATAGACAACTGCCTTTCTGAATACAGTCAAAATACTTTAGAAATGCAAAAAATGATTGAGTGGCACCATTCAAACCTCGAGAAAAAAAAAACAATTGTAAAAGTTACCCTTGTATGATAACCAAACATAAACAAAAGCTTAGGGTACCATTAGGAATTTTAAGGAGATGTATGAACCTTTATCTGCAGGTGTGAGAAGCTTGAAACATGTGTCGACTGGGAAGGATTCAGACACCTGACCTCAATCCTGAGCAATCCACTGGTTCAAGTAGGACTGAACCTTTAACCCTAAGCTATTTGCCTGCAAAAGTACTGTTTGCAGCAAAAATATTACAGTATATGGCCTTGTCCATCTAGACAGTGTGTCTTTCTGTCAAGCATATGGGCACTTGGGCACTCAGCCAAAGGGTGTTTAGCAGTTCTTCTCAGAGTTCACTCACTGATACTCCATGGGTAACAAAATGATCTCGACAAGAAATATTGTGTCAAGATTTCCCAACTCACCATTAAATTTATTATCTTCTGATAAAATAGCATTTATAGTGAAATCATTGTTCTTAAGTACAAGTATGTGTCCAACAGTCTTCAAACAATCATATGATGGCTCAGCAAAGCAATAATTTTCAAATAACTTGAAGTGATCTACAATATAAATAGGAATTACATTCCTATGGAACAAATATAAATCTATAATGTGCAGTGACACTATACTATATAGGAAATAACCAAGGATAATGTTTCATAATCCATTCCTAATGTCTCCATGTACAAGCCAACATAAAGCCATTCTCTTTAACTGAAGCCCAAAACTTATAATCCTTACCTGGTTCAAATTTATTATAAGATATATTTTGGTAGTTCATAAACTACAGTAAATCTTATAACCTGGAAAACAAGTGTAAGTAACAAAGAGCAACTTTAAAGCTTGATATTTAGTTTTGTTAATACAAAGAAAGGCTATACCCGATTTTCTCATCTGAAACTTGACAGTACACATCGACAAAAGTTCAAATAAATATGTCGAAGACCGTCTCTACTCATCGTTAATTTTCATTATCATTTTCAATGACTTTAAGGGGCACGAAACAATGAGATGAGCATGAGAAATCTTACCCTATGCGTGGGAATGTCATCGTCACGCATTTCATCTAAGTTACCAGAAATGGCACGCTTCAGCTCAGGTCCAGCTTCATGCAAAGTTCTCAAACCTAAAGATGAAATATTTGTGAAGTGTATCACTTTGTAATTCTTTTTTCTTTTTTAATTCTTCATATGCACTTAATATGTTGCATAAAACTTAATTCAATATGACTATATTATTTCTACTATTTACAGAAAGTAAATTATTGCAAGCCATAATTATTGGTAGGATTCTCCCCTTATTTCCACTTGGTATCAACTGTGTTATAGCTATACCTATATATCAATCTCAAGGTAACTGGTCAATCAAAATATTCTTAATTAATTATTACATGATCAGATTCATTCATAATTGTATTTATTTTCTGTGCCAACTTGACACAACAACATCCATCAGCTCATCATAGCACTAGCCTTACTTTTCTTCTCAACAGTTTTCTTCACACTTCTCCATTGCACTTGTTACTCACCTGCCTGGAGAGTCACAGTGTTGGCAGAGTCTTTGTCAATTTGTTCTTTAATTTCTTGCTTCTTCTTTTTAAATCTTCTAAAGTAATCTTGAATTAGGAAGGTAGCATAGAACTTGCCAACAGTCACGTCATCTTCAACTGCAAAGAATAAAAACAAAGTTTCAATTCAGAGTTTATTTTATAATTGTATTCGAATGTTTTTCTATTAACACTGGAACTTTGTCGTGGTTAAAGTAAATAAAACTTGATATAAATTTATGATATACTGTACCATGTTGATTAGGATGCAAATACTAAGGAAAATGGGCAAAAGAAGTAGATACAATATAGATATATCTGTACACACATTTTCAGTGTTTAACCCTTTGGCTACTTAATTAAAAAAAATGTAAAACAAATGATATTCCTTAATGCCATCATTGTTTTATCATATTTTACCGTAACCTCTGTATATACAATATTGGAAAAGATTATTGCAATTTCAAATTTACTGCATATTTTTCTATTCTCCTAACATTCATATATTTAATCTAACATAGTGTACTAACTTTCTATATCAAACTTATATATGGTATCCTCACTTAAAACAGGAAGACACAGAAACATGATGAAAATATTGTGAAAAATTTTTAATAGATATCTTTCTCTCCCAAGAACACATCAGCAGGAACAACTTACCCCCAACTGGCGGCACAACTTGATCAAGAAGTTTAGGATTTGTACGCTTCCAGATCTTCTTAATAACAGCTCTTAATTCTTCATTGGCATCATCTATGTTGCCCTCTGTCTTAATTCTTAATGAAGTTCTGACTAAGGCAAAGAGTGTTGCATTGAACATTACTGTTCCATCTGTATTAAGAGGCATATTCATTGCCACTAGACGCTGAAAATCAAATTTTCAAATTAGGAAACCTCGCTGTATTTTTGAGGACCTACAACTAATACAGAATTGATTCACTTTACAATGTAAGAGTAACTGTTCATGGATTGCCACTGTATTTGTTCAAGTCTACAGAATTTTCATGATTTTATTAAAAAAGAACAAAAGACTTACCTTACATGCTACACGATATGGACATAATTTTCCAAAGCCTAATGGGGGAGATATTTTCCTGAGAAGAGTAACCACATCCAGATGTTTAATTCTGCCCTTTGCATCAGGGTCATACTCTGACCAGAGAGTGATGAATTCATCCAGATGATGGGGACCAAGGATAGACCAATCACGTGTAAGGTAGTCAAAGTTATCCATGATGACAGCAACGAACAAGTTGATGATCTGTTAAAAAATGCATAACACTGAAAAACATGAAGCTTATGCTTATCATATGTAACTCCCCTTAGCTAAGCCTTAAAAATGATTGAAGAGGTTGACACACGAAGTTTTAAGCACCCTCTTCCGTTGAAGAGGGTCATTGTGTTTCAACCCAAGTTTTAAAAAAATGAGCCCTGAAGGACACTGCACTATAGTGCTTGACAGGGAGGATAGGCAGGAAAATTAACTAATTCTAATAAAATTAATTTAATAAATTGGAATTCGTTATATTTTACTGCCACTCCTCCCCATCAAGTACTGTAGTGCGGTGTCTTTCAGGACTCATTTAACTACAGTATGTATTTATCTTAAAATCTACTGGAAAGATGATTAAGGGTCTATGATTGGAGTTATTGTGTAGCCAAATATATGAAGGGGTTCATGTTAAGAGCTTTGGCAACATACTTTGGGACCAAAGAGCTTGTCCCATAAGGGCACGAACATAAGATATACTGTAGTATTTTAAGAAAATATGATAAAAAAAATGTATTATTGAAAATTCTGCCTGTGACAAACAAACCCGGCCTACTCATAAAGAAAAACTTCCGAGTAATATTTACAAATACAGTACTGAAAAATAAACTTTAAATTGTGTGAATACATTACTTAAATTTATTCAACAAGAAATCAATCTTACCAAGAATGAACAGAGAGTGTAGAAAGATATGAAGTAAGGATAGGCGACCCTAGAGCCACAGGTGGGGGCATTTGGGTAGTCCTCAGAGAGTGGATCACATCCAGCATCTGGCGGCAAACACGACAACATGACATCTTGCCACGCCTCACCTGTAAAGACATAGGAGTAAATGATACAATGTTAATAAAAATTTAATATTATTATAAAATATAGTAATAGGTTGAATAAAGTGTGGAAATAGTAAGATGCAAAACAAATTTAAACTATAAATGTTTCAGTTTTAATTTGACTATAACAGGGAAAGATTCAATAATGCTTTAAAGCAAAAACAAGTGACCTATTAACTGTAAAGTGGATGTAAGAGGAGTGAAAATTCTGAAAGCTTCTACAATTCAGTATGACACTTGTGTACAGCAAGTCAGTGATTTACATCGTAGATACATTCCACATAAGTGTGACTTTATTCAGAAAGAAGTTATTCTGACACTATATTCCCAGGACACATTTTTATCCTTTACCTCTTGGCTAAGTTGTTTTTCCTAATGTTGTTATCATAACTGAAGATAAGTATTCTAATTCCTATGGTCATCAATTATATTAGGCATAACTCAAATGTTACATACCTGTTGCTGATCTGAAGAGGACCATCACTGCTTGGAAGAAGGTCTGGAAATTATTATGACGATGGATCTGTGTACCGTAGTCTAACGCAATCTTGCCGAACACCTGTTGACGAAAAACGAAAATAGATTGTAGAAATTATAAATTTCTATTTTTAGCCTCTTTGTTTTTTCTAAGACCCCAATCCAATTAACATTTCATTTCATCCTTTCAACAACCAACACTCTTGTTTATGGTGTAAAATCATTATTTATTCTTAAAAGCTCAGTCTGATAATGACCCACCCATGTAATATCTCAGGAAAGTCCTTATTTATAACAAGTGTTCTGTTCCTGCAACTTTTGCCATGTGTAAAATTATGATACAGTACACAAAATTATTTCCCCATAAAAAAAAAAAAAACATTGTATTGAGGGGGGTGCATTCTTATCCATGAGTTATGAGGGCAGATGGGCTGATTTTTCAAACAGGAAGACTTATACAGCTACTCCTCGACTTACGACCTACTCGACTTACGACCACCCGGACATATGACCGCCTCAGTCGTACTAAAATTTTGTCAAATTACGTATTTTCGAGTCCTGACGTTAGTGATTGCGCTGTGTACTGAAAAATTTTCGTTTGAAATTCACTTTAAAATGGCTGGCAAGCTTAAAAGTTGGAGTTTTGTGGTGCTGAGAAGAAAAAGAGACACCCATTTTAGATTTTCTATGTATTATTTAAGCATTTTCGACTTACGACCTGGATTTGGGTCCCTAACCCTGTCGTAAGTCGAGTTGCAGCTGTATGCCATACTATTCTAACGATTGTTTCTCAACTATTGTTCCTTCACTTATTTCAAATATTTTAATGGTGTCTAAATTCACCTCTAAAATGACACGGTTTTGTCCAAGGTGTGCTTGGTGAGGCACTGATGGGCCTTTTTGCACTCATTATGCTCAATAGGCAATTCAAAAAATAATAACATACATAAATAACTCTTATTACACACACGTATACAATATAAAGCTCTAAACAAAAGCAGCTCTGGTAGCTATTGTCTTTGATAACATGTAGCACATCTTGAAGGTTCTTGTTGATTTCTGTTCAGCTGGATGCAATTTGCATGCACAGTGATCAAATTAAACACATTGTGTTAATTGAATATTTGGTTATAAAAAGAAAATTGCAATAGATCAAAACTGTGAGATGAAATTTTGTGATAAAGCTTTGACTAATAGTATATATATTCAGAGAAATTCTAGCTTTGTGCTTAACATTTCATTCAATAATGGAGGTAATCATGTTGCAAAATATCTTATTTTTTGTCAAAGGAGATGATGTACTGCTAACTGGCAGGTGGTGTGCAACCAAAAACATTAATATTGCAGCAGATGTATAGAGTCATGATGATACTTGTATCATATACACAGTTACACTCCCTGTACATATCCTAGACTTTGTATAATGTAATTGATGATGTGGATGGGTGGAAGAAATTACATCTGCAGGTAGAGATAAATCCAGTAATGACAGTGTCATAAGATCCCAAAACAGTACGTGAAGTTCATACAAACAGTTAATACAGTCCAGTACAGTATATGAATAAGAATAATGAAGGTATTCTATCAGACCTCAAGTAAATTTTATTTTTAATTTTGTTAACTTGCATGCTCATGTTTTAACTTCCCAAAAATAAATACATACATACATACATACATACATACATACATACATACATACATACATACATACATACATACATACATACATACATACATACATACATACATACATACATACATACATACATACATACATACATACATACATACATACATACATACATACATACATACATACATACATACATACATACATACATACATATACATACATATATATATATATATATATATATATATATATATATATATATATATATATATATATATATATATATACATACATACAGTTGTACCCCGCTTAACGCGGTTTCACTTAACGCGATTTCTCATATAAGCGGTGCCTCGCCAGAACCGAACTTTCACTTAACGCGGTTCATCTACTCATATACGCGGGAAGCGGCGCGGGCACGATGCGCACAAGGTCGCCCAGTCATCAAAACATTACCGAGTTCTTCACCCGCCACCCACCACAGCCAGCCCAAGTCAGTGATAGTGATAATTACAGTGAGGATATGGACTTGTATGGACTTTGAGGGGTTTGACAAAGAGGCCCTGCAAGCCTCTGTGGTGGATAGTGATACAATTGATACAAGTGATACAGGTGAGGGCCAATAATCTGCCCTCTGCCTCGGAACCAACCCCCCATCCCCATGTGCCCAGCCATCTTTTCTACTAATGTAAGTGTTAAAAAACCTAATATTATTGATATTTCTCTTAATTATTAATTGTGTGTACATACCATCATAAAGTTAAGATAATATTTTTACTACAACATAGTTGTGTGTCGTCAAAAAGTGGAGTTTGGGGGTTGGGCCAGTCTCTATTGGAATTAATCCCATATGTTCTGTTGTTCACTTAACGAGGTTTTCACTTAACGCGGTACCCTGTGGGTTCAATTGACCGCGTTAAGCGGGGTACAACTGTACGTATGTATGTATGTATGTATGTGTGTATATATATATATATATATATATATATATATATATATATATATATATATATATATATATATATATATATATATATATATATATATATATATATATATATATATATATATATATATATATATATATATATATATATATATATATATATATATATATATATATATATATATATATGATTTTTTCCATCCTTCCCAAATTTCTCTCCTTTAACTGTACAGGACCTGCATGCCGACGACACCGTAGATGAAGAAAAGGAGGAGGATGAGAAGAGCAACGTATGGCAGGGCCTGGAAACTCTTGATGAATGTCCATAACAACGTCCGGATGCCTTCACCTTTGGAGAGAAGCTTCACCAAACGCATCACACGGAACAAACGGAAGAAGTTGATGGAGAAGAGGTTAGACCCCGGCTGTGTGGGAAGAATACAGATTAGAAGAAGAAATTGCTGGTAAATAAATAAGAGATGGTAAAGGAAAGGAGTTATATGAGAGGCCTGAGAGTATTGCAAGTCCAGTAGTAAGAATGTGGATGTACTGTAGAGATATGGTGAATGGGGTGAATATAACAGGATGTGACAGGAACTAAAAAAAAAAAGTGAAAAGTTGATGTGTTAGATGTACAGACATATAAGAGTTTAATAACTAAGAAACACGATGGGATGAATGGAAGGAATTCAAGAAAGTATAAAACAATAGTTCTGTATGCATGAGCTATGCAAAAATTAAGCAATATAAAATAATACAAATTTTATATATAAATTTAAAATAAATGAAAAACAATTTATTTTAAATTTACAATTATGAATTAAAAATATAGAAAACATGAGGCAAATTAGGTATATTGCAGTTGCTGATAAATGATAAAGACGGGACAATATCCAGTCCCATTTTCATATATCACCTGATACCGTACAAGTAAATTGATGAGGTGACCTTGAATGCAAGATCAAAACTTAAAAGTATGACATAAACAAGATACTATCTGTGATCTTACTGTGTGTTCATAATGCACATGAACACTGTCCATATGAGATTGTTCACAATATCGATCATCTATTGAAATGACCTTAGATCAGGTAAACCAGGTATACAGAACAGTATTCCAGGTCAAAATTTAACAGGGTGAGCAGTATTGAAGTAAATTTTATCTCTTTCCTATTTAAAATAAATACTTGGAGTTTATAAGGAAAACTGAGTGGGCTAAAAGTCATTGCAGGAAACTAACTTGTTTCAATTTTCATAGATATCAAGGTACTGCAGTAGTAAATTAAATGTTGGTCAATTTATGAAATAAAATTGAATGTCTTGTCTTAAGTTCAAAAGTATGGTCTGTAAATATCGTACCCTTGAATTTTTTATGTTTCTTACAAATAATTGAAAATATTTACACAATATTACACAACAAGGTGAAAGGTTAAAATGAATATATGTGAAAAAGACTGCTCTTATGACCTTTGAATCTAACATAATGTAATACCTGTACATGTACAGTATAAACTTCTCAGGTAATATTAAATGAAATACATGTATAAGCAATCAAACAAATTAATATTGTACACCAGATGCACGGTCTAATGTTAACTCCTGAAGAAGATGCAAGATACATCCTTTCACGTCCGTCTATATGACAAAATTTAGCAATCGTTATATAGTATACAGCATATGACATTAAATAATACAGTACAAACAATTAAACAATCTATTCAAATACAGTCATCTTAATGCAATGTCAAATACTGCAACAAGGCTTAAAAACTGTAGCCTAAGCTCATTTATGTGTCCATACAGTAAATAGGAAATAAGAGAGAACAACAACATACTGTATAAAAAAAATTTCATAATAAACTTTGAGCATTAATCTAATTTAATGGAAAAGTTTGAAAGTTTAAACTAATTATGTACTTGCAAATATCTGTATTTTCCAAATACTTTACAAAGGAAATTGATGGACGTATTAATGAGATATCAAAGAAAAAAGATTTTCCTTTAAATGAAATCAAATACCCCATATAGCCATCAAAGCAGCCCTCTTTGCATACAGCCCCAGAATTATGCAATAAACATAGTATAATATCAAGAAATACTGCATGTGTTCCAAATATGATAGAAATCATACACACATTGCTGCAAGATCCCAAAGAAATTCAGAAAAAAAAAATCTAAATAATTCTGCTACTACCCGTACTTGTATTGTTGTTTATCTCAGGTACTTCAAATGTCAGTGTTGCTAAATACTGTTCATTAGTCTGGTTTCTACAACAGATGAATCTTAAAAATTAGGATATAATTACTATCATTTAAAAAAAATGGATGGAAGAAACATCACCAAAACAATATAGCAAAACATCATATTTCAGATTGATGAGAAATAGTTGAGGTCAAGATAATAACTCATAGACTAGAGCTGATGATTTGTCCTCCAATTTAATGTTAAACTGCAATAAAGCAAATTTATGGGAAGGAGTTCTATATTTGGTCCTTATAAAAATACAGTATTATAAATCATATATTAAACACTGGCACTGAATCTAAGCCAGGGAATAAACTGATATTGAACATAAAACCACAAGGTGAAAATTAAAGCCAGAATATATGAGGCTATGTGGACCATAACTTCGTAAATGCCACCCCATCAAAATTTGTTTCTGTTTTTTAATCCCATTGTCTTCCTACACCTATTGCCTCTTGATTCTGAGGCCGAGGTAACATGAAGCAATAGTTTATAGGGTCAAAAATCCCATTTCCGTAAAGGGATTGTCAGCTGTAAGTTCGCATTGCTAGAGCAGGGTTGTGCTTTCACTGCTCTTCCCCGCCTGCCAAGAGGCTCCAATGGTGTCGTGTGGTGAATTACGTCTAGGGGACCATGCGGCCATATGATCAAAATCTAATGCCTCTAAATTCCTAAGGTTATGATCATTATCATGATTACTGATAATTATAACAATATTATTATTATTTGATTATGGCACAATAATCCTGAGTACGTAAGTCTTAATTTATTACAGGATGATTTTGCTACCTGTATCACAATTAGTTAAAGTTATATAATAAGTTTAATTTTCCAAAACTTTAACCACATTTTCTGGTGTTTTTCTTTTTTTGGCGCTCATGAAGTTATGGTCCGTATAGCCTCATATTGTAACAGTTGACTTTTTATATAACCATTATGTATACTGTATACAGGAATTGTCTATACAAAATTGTGCAAAATAGTAAGATTTTGAAACAAACCTTAAATACAAAAGTAAGATAAGGTAAGTCAATAGTTAAAAAAAAAAAAAAAATGGAAAGCCTATTTTATGGCAAAAAGGAAGAGTAAAGTGACATATGATATACCTGCTCAGAACTTCCCAGACAGAAACTGCCTTGACCAGGTGTTTTCTGTGTTCTGAGGAAGGGAACTATCCACCAATGGTTATTAATTGTTGCCTTACTATACAACTGCTTGCCAGGTAAATCATGGTAAAAATTTAACTTGAGTGCATCACTTATGATCCAAATTCAGTTGCATACGAGATAGGATTTACGGTATTCCTGAATATTCTACATGAAACAGCGGCTTCACATTACACCCTGATACATGTCACTGATAAAGAGTCCAACTGCCCCCACCTTCACACTTTACTAATTCACTAAATTCCTCACTTTCTATGTTTTCCTCCAACAGTCACAGCCAAGGTCTTCCTGGTTGGAAATATATTCTTAGCAACTAGAATCACTCCTAATATCCAGCAATTCTGTCAATTTTACCTCAAACTTGTGAATGTCACACACTATACCCTCCCATTTCTGAGAACAACAGAGACTGCAGTGGAACAATGGCAGATCTCACAGTAGACTATGACATCACAGGCTGGGCCTAGAGTGGGCACATCTACTAATATTGCTCCCAGCAGTACATGCAAGGCATTGTGTAATCTCCAAGACAAAGCAAACCTGGCTCTTCTCCTATTACAGTGTGCCTAATTTTTATGAACTGCGAACATCACCGTCCACCACCCTGGGCTTCTGATGACATACCAAGTGGGTCACCATGGCAAAGGAATTAACTGATTCATATAAGACAGCCTTCCTCCCTTAGAATAACAATAAGGCAGGGAAGTTCTAAGTGGCTATATTAGACATCACTTGATAAATATCTGAGAATCCATCAAAAAAGGTGTGATACCTTGATAATTAGGATTAAAATTAAAAGCAAATTGCTTGAATTGTCAAGATATTAATCAAGGTAAAATAACACACCATAAAATAATTATTAGCTGTAATATAAGCAGTTTCGAAAATGGCCACGAGATGACAGCATGGCACCTAAAATAATGTAAAACATTACAGATCAAAGAAGGCTTAATCCAAATTTGGAACAAAATTTGATAAGGCACTTTTAACCCTTTCAGTCCTATCCATGTATTTCTCACATAACTCATACACTTTGGACCAGAGTCCTAAGTATTTATGAGAGACGGGCTGAAGTTTCCACCGCTTCAAAAATTCTGGAGCAGGCATGAGCCATATATCACCAGTAGTAATAATGCATCCTCATAAATATCAAAGCTGCTCAGTTACCCTACAGGCACCCTGGTGGAAGAAGATTAATTGGAGTCATAAGTGATACCCATGCATCTGGTAGATATAAACATAAAACGTGGCTATACATGGGAAAAAAAAATGCATTTATGATGGAGAGCAGTATAAAGAGGAGGATGATGATGATGAAGTTTAGTCTGAGTATATATACAATATTGAGGCCCAAACAATTGCACAACTAAAGAAACATAAAGTAACTGCAGCTGCTAACCAAGATTCGTTGTTCTTATTTGATGCTTTGTGGCTCTTAACATTATGTTTAATTAATATATATGGTCAATTTACTTCTTTATCTCTTTAAATTTCTTCTAAAACCTTTGGCTGGCAGAGGACAAAACAATACAGTAAAATCCCCATAATTCGAAATAATAGGGGCTCTAGCCCTTGTGAATTATGAAGAACACCTCCTGAGGAAAACACAAACAAAACAATGGTACCTTTCCGTTATCTGCTCCAATCAAAATGTAAACATTTTTAAGTACAGTACCATATACAGTATAGGGTTATCAAACATAATGGCTCAAACACTGGGAAATGATGGAAAAACAAGTGGAAAAAGCTTGCACGTGGATCATAGACATGCACTCCACCCCTGACCCACGTGAACTGACCGACAGCTCCGACAAGGACCGACACGTGTATACTTGTTTAGACTGAAATCTCTTATACAGGGTATTTTTAAATTTTACCAAATATTACCAAATTTGTGACATATTTTGTAAGATTAAAACATTACGAATTATGAGCGATTTGAAATTAGGGGTGTATGAATTATGGGTTTTGTACTGTTGACTGAGTTTAGGACTGAATGGGTTTGTATCTCAAT